GAACGTTTGCCTCTTCCTCGTTTATTCGCGAAACAATTTGCGTGCACGTTCGGATACAATGGGACCGGAATTCAAAATAGGACAAATGAGGAATAAAGAGTATAATCTTCGAAATATTTTCTGTTTGACTAGAAGAAGAAGAAGAAGAAGAAGAAGAAGAAGAAGAAGAAGAAGAAGAAGAAATAGAAAATCAGTTGCAAGACGATAAGTAATAGTAAAATGTTACCCGGGGTGGAAAATGAGATGTTACAAGCGTGAAATTACAATAATAATAATAATAATAATAATAATAATGAGAAGAAGAAAAAAAGAAAAGGAATAGGGGGAATGAAGAAGAAGAAGAAGAAGAAGAAGAAAGAGGTGAAAAAGAAGAAGGAAGAGAAGAAGAAAAAGGACGAGGAGGAGGAGGAGAAGGAAATTGAGAAGAAGAAGAAGAAGAAGGAGAAAAATTAGAAGGAAGAGATGAAGAAAAAGGAGGAGGAGGAGAAGGAAATTAAGATGAAGAAGAAGAAGACGAAGGATGAGGAGGAAGAGAAAAAGAAGAAGGAAGAGAAAAAAAGAAGGATGAGGAGGAAGAGAAGACGAAGAAAAAGAAGAAGAAGAAGAAGAAACCAGAGAAGAAGAAGGAGGAGTAGGAGTAGAAAAAGAAGAAAGAAGAGAAGAAGAAGGAGGTGGAGAAGAAAAAAGAAGAAGAAGAAGGAGGAGGAGGAGAAGGAAATTGAGATGAAGAAGAAGAAGTAAGAGAAGAAAAAGAAGAAGGAAGAGAAGAAGAAGAAGAAGAAGAAGAAGGAACCAGAGAAGTATTAAAATTACATAGGCGCTGAGATAGGTAACATGCGAAAATGATCAGAATGAAACTTGCAAGTGGAGAATTAAAAGTTGAAAAAATCTTAATGAACGAAATGATTGAAAAAGAGGAAAGAATATGGCGGTGAAGAAGAAGTTGTAGATAAAGAAGAAAAAGTCACATTAAACAAATTTAAAGGAGATGTTGGAGGATGAAAAGAAAAACCCGAATAAAGAAAACGAAAAAAAAAAACTGAATGAACTAGAGATTTCCCGAACCAAAAACCAGCAAATAAAAGGAAAGTTTTACAAAA